AAATTAATAAATTGCACACAAAATGAGTTTAACGTGTGTCTTAAGGACATTGTTTTATGTCTTCTCGGCTAATTAACGGCCAAGATCTACATTGAAAAAGGCATATTTTCTATCCGTAGCTTAGGGATTCAGCAGAAAGGACCGGGGTTCTATTTCCTTTCTTCCATTCGTGTGGGATTTATTAATTAAAATCTTTTTTTTCTAAGTCACATGGGTGTCATTTCCAAAAGAGGTTCAAAAGTATAAAGAAATACAATGAGGCATATTCACACTGAAAAAGAATTATGATCCCAAAGGTTTTTGAAGAAATTTATAGAAATGAAAAGCCGTTTTTTCCGTCTGTTGTACGTGACTTGTTCCTTAATTCATGAGGCGAAACACGTTCAAAAGACAAATTTCTAATAAACCCCGACGACTCGATCAGAAAAGGTTAATGTTTCATAGAACTGGAAATTGAAAAGTCCATAATTTCCGATTGATTTATTAAACAGAAACCTCGAGAAGAAGAGTGTCTCTGCAGCTCAAAATACCTGCTACTACTTAGCTACAGGTCTTAACAGTTGTAATCCAGAAAAAATGTTAGACATGCAGTTTTACTTTAATTTTTCGTTCTTCAGTTAGCATACATAAGGTTCAACAAAAAGTCCTTTTATGCCACGCGCTTTGAAAAAAGCCTTAAACTGTGCTTCACACGTGACCTTTACACATCCAAACAATAACAAATATAAGGGCGACATAACCCAACTATGCGAGAACAAGAGTGAAACAAAGCTCGTCCGCAACACACGTGTTACAAGTCAAACGCAACAATTAAAACATATGTTAATCCGTGTATTCACCACTTTTGTTGTAAACTTCTGCGATTGGTCGCGTTAATCACTGGAGGTAAACAAGATATCTAATTTAGAAGATCGAAGAAAAAAGTATTGTCTGAGTTTTCGCGGTGCTAAGCGCTTGGTTTTCGAGCGTAATTGATAATGAAAGTTGCTGTAAGGGCCCATTACACACATGAGTGATCACGCAGATCGACATCTGTCAGTCATTGTCTGCACCCTACACTGTAATGGCTTCCTATCGCGAGAGAACCCTTGACTATTGTAAATACAGGTAATGGAAAGTTCCTTGGTCAGTGCGGCACGCTTCGCGACCGATTCATCCGCCCAATATGTGGTCACTACCTGCCTAACATCTGATATTTACACATAGGAAACGCTTCATCCCTCCAATATGGTGTGTATCGGGTGAATTTTCTTACTTAAGACGCATATTTCATTCAACAGCCGGCATTTTAACATAGGACCTGGTATCTCTCGTCAGCTCGAGGTCTTTCCTCAAGAGTCGAAGATTGTGGTCCAATACAAGAAAGTCAAAATATAAACAAAGCCACGAGCCGTACTTCGTTTTCTTTAAATGTTTACTCAGCTAATTAAAGTTGAGATATGCAAGATACCAAGACGACTTCTTTTGGCCAAACTAGCCGATAGGTGTCTTATTGTGAACACTAATGAATGAATAACACACGGGAAAGGAGAACACACTTTGTACCAAGGGATCGTTATACTAAATACTGCACTTTGATTTCGTAAGCTGAAATGAATTCATATCACGAAACGACTATTAAGGTTTGCACACAAACCCAACAGTTAATTTCCTTTCCGGCACATCCTCAGTTTCCCTGCCGACTTAAAACCATAATAAAAGGGACGTAAATGAGCTCAGGGGGAAAAAATTGAATAGAGTGAAGACTGCAGGCCATATTAGATTTGGAGTTTTTGTTATTTGAGCTGCTGGAGACCGGTGATTTCAATGTTCTTTGGTGTTCGATAAAGGCACGCTTAACGGTTAAACACGTACGAATGACACGCGAAAGGATAATATCCACTATGATATAACATTACAAAGCCAATTTGGAATTTGAGCCGGTAGCAGATCTTGACGTACAATAATACTCCCGGTAATGCAGTCGAATTTCTGCAATGCTGAAAAAATTTAAGAAGAGTGTTAACCACTAAGTGGCACCAAGGGATCAAACATCTACACCAACAACAGCGTCACTCAGCAACTTAAAAAGTCGATAAGGTTAATTGCATCCGGCAATTAGCAGTAACGAACAAAGGGGCCTTCTAAAACATAGAAAGAATTTGAATGGAAAATGCTGTTAGAGAATCTTTGAAAAAGCTTTCACTAAGTGTGGGTTTTGCGGTAAATCTTAGATGTAGTACAATACATCTTCCACGATTACGTTTCTAAAAGTCCTAAACTCAAGTCCTCGTGAAAAGTACTTCCATCTTTCCGTCAATTGATATAGCGCATTTCATTTCCCTTCCTTGGGAGACTGCTTCTCAAACAACGTTTCAATATATTACTCTTCATCGAATTCTGCGATGATAATGGCTTTTCCAGAATTCTATTTCAGGCTTACGAACTTGAAATTCTTGTCGAGGACTCTTGGACAATTTAGCAAAGATAACGCAAATCTTGCGAAGAGTTTTGCTCGAGGAATCACCTGTCGCTAATCGGAAGGAAAAATCGTGTGTAGACTACCTTATCTCGACGAAAATCCCTTCTCTATCAGAATAGACGTAGTTTTTATGGTAAGGAGGGTAACAAAATCTACATACAAACTCGAGACGAGTTGGTCATCACCCTCCTGATCTATGCTGAGGTAAAACATACAAGGAAATACCAGCCTCGTTGATTAATTGTAAGTGGCCGCGTGGCTGGCAAAGAAGGAGAGCAAGCACAAGAGTGTAAAGAGACAAATAATTCGTGCAGAAGAACCTAGTTACTGTTGCATAGAAAACATAAATTACAATATTTTGATGTGTCACTGCTGTATACTACAGCACCAAACCATCTCAGGTGTCACAGGTTTTCATTTAGGTCAGTGCTCCTGTCGTGGTGTTTCAGCCACATATGATTCTCTACTTTGCACATGCGTGCTCCGATACGGAAATACCAAACTTGCTTCAAAACCGGATTTCGAAGGGGTTAACTCCCACAAGCTGTGACATGCTAGGCATAATCATTTCACCATTTGAAGGGCTTCGCTTGCAACCAAGATGTAACTAAAGTAATTCATACTTCAACAACCGCAGATGTTATTACTACGAGGACCCTTTTGTGCGGCATCTCGTTTGATTAGAAACACAAAGTAAGCAGATCGTCTTCAGAAACCTCATTTATATCTTTAAACTGCAAAAAGAATAAAGAACAATTCCAAGAAGGAAAGTAGAACAATGAAGAACAATAATGAAGAACAATTTCGAAAAAACAGTAAACCTCGAAGACTTTACATAGAAGTCAAGCTTCTTAAAAGAAAAACGTCTTTTCGATTCAGTTCCTGTGGTCCGTTAGTATTCAAGCACCCAAATTATTTACATAAACAAACGTCTCAAATGTTCCCCATTAATTGTCTTATGATAATGTTAAGGGTGTCTTATTGCACTTGTCGGAATTTTGATTGTCATTGACCATCCATGTATGGAACCCAGTTCTTCCTCTCTACTACGGTTACGTTGAAAACTAAATGAAATCAGTTGTAACGGTTGGATCAGCGTCATTGAGGGATGGCCAAGAGATGAATAACAAAAAAACAGAAATCACGGACACGCTCGTATGGTTGTTTCGGCCAATTGTAGCCCTAACTCTGTATAGATTAGATGTACTAGCTATTAATTTTAAGGGTCATTTCATCTCAATAGTTAGTGTGATAACGTTCTATGGAATCCATGTTAAACCGTTTTGGGGTGACCCTTACACAGATTGAAACATATCTATAGGTAGTTGTAGTTGGACTTTCGGCTTGATCACTGGATAATGGTAATTACTTTTTGTTGTACTATTCGTGAAAGAAACTCGTCCCCAAACTCAAATTCACGCCAGACGCGGTCTTAAATATTCTGCCAAAATCATGGCACATTGCACTGTACAATGGTGAGCAAAAGCGAAGCAATCCCTTTCAATCGAACACAGTATCAAGTGTGGCCGCCCTAAAGCTTGGTTGTCTCTTTTCTCTAAAAGGGGACAATGCTGAGCCATATGGAACAAACAAGACGCCGCTGACCGCCGGTGATATTTCAAGAGGAGCCGTTGTAAGAAGCGGCTTTTCGTTTCACTCGAGGAGGGAAGAGTGTAACAGCTCACAAAGCAGTGACAATAATGTGAATGTTTGAAGGGAAGTTAATAGACGCCATGATGTTGACGGTTGACGCTTTCATACAGTTCAAACCAGCCATTGAATATGGCCAGGGAACTACTGGAGTGTAAGCAAGCTATACTACCAGGTTCCCAAGTTCCCTCTCGGCGGAGTGGTTTGGTTTAGTTCACTTATCACTTTGAACTGGTTTAAGTGTGTGGAGAACGCTCCGTGTGGGTCCCGAAAAAGCGATACCATGGCTCACCCTAGGTGGAGCCGACTGGAAGCCTGAAGAAGTGGAAAATTGTAGACCATTCATGGGAAAATGTTAAGCGAGCGGCGCTGTTTAAAACCGTAAGATAGAGGCATGCTGTGAAAAGTTCTGTCAAAGAAGATTCTACAAATGAAATCGAAAATTAACAACCGCCTAATGAAATACTTAACTAGTGACATAGTAAACCTCTAGAAACCCCTCTATACAAAATCAAACTCGAACAGGGGACACTATACATTAGTGCTGAAAGAGAAAAACGCTCCTTCCACGCCGACTAATGAAAGCAGTCGAATTCCAAGTGCGACATACTTCAGAGGGCTGACTTCTGGAGACAAATAGGAAAAAGGCATGTTTCGTGGAGAAAATGAAAGAATTCCTCAAACTTCAACGGGCAGGCAAAATGGACGAAAAAGCGATCCACGTGAAGTTTACAGAGAGAAGACTAGGAGACCAAACTGAGGCGTGTCGAATTCAATGTAATGAAAGTCCCTAAATCAGAGCAGATTTGCTATTTGTTAAGTAATTTTTCAGCGAAAAAAACCGAAAAAGCAAAAAAAGATTAGTAGTTGCAGGTAAGGACGAAAAAATCTGGGTAAATTTTCCAAGTGGAATGCTGCAGAGTAGGAGACGTCACTAGAGACGAATCGCTCAACTTTATTCTTTTACATATTCCGAACGCAACATTTGACATCGGATCAAGACTTTTGTATTACATTGCAATATGACGATTTGTAGAAATCACGCATATAAATAAAGTAACAGTTCTAAAGAAATAATTCAATACGCCTCTGAGTTACAATTTCGAAACTTTTGAGACACTACCACATGTATTTGTGCGAATACTTTTAGGGCCGCCGCTGGCTTGTTATTGAAAAACCTTAAAATAACACCACAAGATAGGAAGAAAATTCTTCAGAATGCAACAAGTTAAAATATTATATTCAGAATAAAAAGCTCAGCTATAGAAGCTGAAGAACCCATTCTACAGCATCCTATAATATTATGGTGCGAGCAAGTTGCTTATTTTCAGTTGGCCATGAACAGTTTCTTCCCGCCACAATTTATGTTTAAAAAATCCGACCTTTCCTTCTTTCCTTTGGTTTGTTCAACAACAAACAGACTAGAGAAAGGGGACCAAAAAGATTTTTGGCTGACTCCTCAAACGTTTCAATCGTCTTTGGGTTTCAGAGGCATTTAATGTCTTCTGTCATTAAAACCAACGTAGATGCGGGGTATTTTCTGGAGTGGGTTCTGTCGGTTTCTGATCAGTCTGCTCGTCCTTTGGGGTATCTTTGGGAAATAAATCAGGAAACTTAAACGTCCCTGAAGCCTGGAATAAAATGAAACAAAAGGAGAGCGCTTGAACACAGACCCATCATTGTATGGTGTAAAAAAATGATGAACAGGTCAAAGATAATCATGAAGTTTTCCAAGAGAGAAGGTAAAAAAAGTTCCACTTTCAGTCATTAATAAATATACAATTCCTTAATGTTAGGAAAAAATAGGTAGTTAAAGACCGCATGTGGCTATTGATAAAGCACAACTTTTATAGTATTGAAAAGAACTGGAGGTTGTGTAATGATGCTAGAAGGTAGTTTTACAGAAGATTTGTCTCATATGCAAAACAGAAAACCTGCCGCACCACACATATTTAGGAGTATCCTGTTCCACAAGAAAAAGATGGTTCAATGATGTGGTGACTAATTGACACTCAACCGATAATTAAACTGTAAAAAAAATAATCATATCAGCAATAATGATAATAGTAATAATGATATCAACAGTAATAGTGATGATAATTTATAGGGACTAGATGAAGAACCTCGCTGTTTCTCTATCAGTCTATCCTCTAGGCTCTAACAACAATTAAACTATGCTTCATTCAGTTCTCCCTGATAATTATAAATTATTTTCTTAGTTCATTGCAATTCCACTTTTGCGAGACTTAAGTTCCATAGAACAAGGCATTCTGCGCTGTAGGATATCCCGCCATTCCACATTTTTATCATTCACACTGTTGAGGTCAAGGTATGGTATTTGGGACCTTGCTCGCTTCGCAAATTTTGTGGCTCTTTTGGGCACAAGTGCTCTCTAATCGAATAAATAAAATTTCTTTAAAGTTTCCACGATGTGCAAATCAAACCTATTTATATATTTCTTCAAGGAAAAGTCTTGTTTCAATTATATGCCGGAGACGCCTCTCAGTGTAATATTTTTTCAGACGTTTATCATCTTTTTTTTTAGTGTCACGGCAAGAAGTGAAAATAACTATAATTTTGGATCTATTGGGCATAATTCGCTGATTCAAACGTTAAATGTTCTCTCCTCAAAGAAAAAAATATCCTCTAAGTTTTCATGATGCGCCGATCACACCTTAAAGATATTTCTGCAGGAAAAGTTTTGTTTTTTCATGCACCATCCTGAAATGATTTTGAGATGTTTAACATCTTATGTAGAATTCTGAAACAAACAGTTAGTCGCAACGGGAAACATCGGGTCGGAGAATTGGGCCAAGATCGGAATTCTATTGTTACCATCACCCATCTGGATGACATATGGGGCTTTGCCTCCTACATATAGGAACCATCAACTCTGCATTAAGAAGTATGGTTACTAAGTGATTTAAGACTCTCTTCGCTCTCTTTCTCTTGACCGTTGGCACAATATTTCAATCGGCAAGCGAGCAAACGAAAGTGTTGTGAACGCATAGTTGGGCTCACTACAGACAATCATGTGGTGCAACATGAATTGTCCTCCCACTGATACGAGGTTTTATTAAAATATATTTTCTTTTGGAGGGGGGGAGAGGAGGAGGGGGGCGACCAAATTTTTTGTTGGGGTGACCATTTTCCAATTGGAGCCCTGGACACTGCGTAATAGTGCAATGATTGCTTTTTACCTGAAGTGGACAGGTGTTTAGTTTTTTTACTGTAGTGACCTGAATTAAATCATTTCATGAAAATGTACACTGCAAGGAACTGCGGAACAGATACACACTATCTGAAGTGACAACGAAAAGACCCGTGGGACCCGTGTCCATTTTCTTCCAGCCCACCCCATCATTGTAATGCAATGGGCCATGCTACTTAGAATTGGCCCATAAATTTTGAAGGCCAGAGTCCATAGGCTCATTTGCCTGATTTGCCCTCCCAATCTCTGACTTCTCTTGCAAGATCTTCTGATTGTAAGAGAAAAGCATCTAACCCATGTAAAGGAACCCAATACCTCACCCTTGGACACAGATTTTCCGAACTGTTGCAAGTTGGTATCACAAAAGATCTCATTCACAACGAATAGGATTTGTATCTGTGCATTTCTAATAAAATATCTACCTACCAGAACTACATATGCTACTTTATAATCTGGATATTTTCTCTTTGTAATCTTCCTGTTGATGAGTAATGCTTTAGTCTTTCCTGCAAAAAAAATTAAAAAAAGAATTAAAAAAAAAAAAACACTTAGGCCCAGTCAAGAGAGAGACAAGAAGTAAATGTTCTAGCATTGGAAGGAACTAGGGAAAAAGGCAAAACTTAAATATTCACGCAAACTAAACTATGTCTGTTTGAAATTTTTATGAAACCTTGCAATGACCTAGTTGTTCCTTTCTATAATCAGTTCAAGGGACTTGCCTTAGACACTAATTTCACTTGCTGGATAACAAAAAAAAATTCTCTTGCTGGATCTGACCACCCACTCTCCATAATCTTCAATGTATATGTTTTTCTTTTTGCATATTAGATATTTTCAATATTCTGCTGACATGAAAAAATGGCCTTCTTAAAGGTGCACAGTCAATCTTGCAGCTGAAAATTGATAAAATCCTGAATCTGTCTATTTTAGATGAAATTGACCCATTAAATTTTTATCTTTATTTCTTCTATTTTACTACACATGGATTTAAGATTAAACAAATAAACTGTGCACCTATAGCCTCAAAATATTGCATAGAGTAGATGCGTACACAATATACCTTCTGCAAATGGAATTTGGTGTATTTTTGGAGTTTTTTTCATTTCCAGTTTAAGCCCAATTCTCTCATATTGAGTATTTACTTCAAAACTGCTGACACAAGAAGCTTTTAGATGGTATACAATATCACTTCAAGGAGTCAGTATTTGTAGATTTCTTTTAAAACTGCTGTTTGCATTAGGTAGGAAAAGAAAAGTTACCAATAAAGTCATCTTTAGCTTCTTCCATTAGGGCTCAAACCAGCATCTTTTTATAAAATGTCAATCCTATCTAATAAGATTTCAATTATCTCCATTTTCCGTATGATCACTCAAACAGTTAAAAAAGAGTAGTTCCATAGCTATGCATGTCATTTTTAGTTACCTTCATGACAGCTAAATACATGTATATATACTGATGATGTTACTACTTATTAGAATTAAGTAAAGTTAATAAGAAATGAGCAGAGCCTTTTCCTGCACTTTGACATGTGATCAGGGTAAAGTGGTCACCACAAATTATTCTGTCCTGATGTTGATAGGAGACAACATGGTTCAGTGGTTGTGGAGCTAGGCCTCTTATATGTTTTCACTTGACTCACGCTCTCCTCTCTATCCACTGGATTTTTTTCCATGGTGTTATTTTGGGGTCTTGAGTCAAAGAGGCAGAGTAGCCACAACAGTTAAGATCATTCAAGAAAGATGTTTTTTGTCTTGTCACAAGCATGGGACAAAGAAAAATCTCCATGAGGAATCAAAGCACAGACCTTCAGATTCAGTTAAGATCATTATTGTTATTGTTGTACATAGAATTTTAATATTACTTTGACTATCTACAGGTATGAAATAACATTTGCAAATAATTTCATCTCACCATGCTGTATTCTGGTGTTCACCCTGGCAACGTCAAGTTTGTAAATGCTGGTAAGGTAGTTTTTAATATCCAACTTTGACATGCTGCAAGTACAAAGAAAAATTAGACAATTGATTTGATAAAAGGAACAAGGTCCAGAACAGGACCAGTGGCCTCTGTTGTTGTCAAGTGACCAAAAAAACATGTCTTTTTAAGGTGCAAACATGATATGTTTAGTGTTCAAACAATTTGAATTTTTAAATAATAGCACAAACTTTGGGGGAGAAGTTTAAAACATAATATATTTCAAAAAATAAATAAAATGGTTAAGGCACTACAGTATCCACTATATGTGAGTGAAAAGGATTGGAACTTTACTAAGAACAGTACTCTCCATGTTTATCTAAAGTGGAGAAAATTTCAGCTTGTGTTAAAAATGTGCGTTTCATTGAATTTGTGAAAATTGAAACTGACAAAAACGACTGTATTTGATTGGCTGCTTGATATAAATTAATAATGCAGTTATTCAAAATTGTGACAAAAAAATATATTGTTTCAGCCGACTCTAAAATCTATGCAAAACAGTTTGCAAAGATCCTGGAAATGAAAATTCCTCAAATAGACTTTGTGTATCAATTCTTCACAAAACTTGCATAAATGCCCTATAAAATAATATTGTGTAACCTTCTGAAACATGTTATACTAACACCCAAGACTAAAAAGTTTTTCTGCCACATCTCACAGGAAGCCTTGACCCTTTAACTTCCAGACGTGATTAACATGTACACTTGTAACTTTTCAGGTAATGAGAATACTCAAATTTATCAGGTAGAAGTTGTTATCTTGATCTCACACCAAATTCTTTAGACTAATTTACAAGGAAATCAGTAGCAGCTACAGGGGAGAATTGACAATCAGATCTTGGGATTTAGAGGGCTAAAGGAAGCTCCAACCCTATGAGACAGAGTAAACACCCGCACAATGAGATTACTGCATCTAAAAATGGTGATTCTTCCATTTTGTTTACTTAAATATCACTGAATGGATATTTAAAATAAGTGGGACATAAGGGAAGACAGTCATCATTGCTGATCATGGTGGTTTTCTTTTAAAAAAAATTACTGTAAAAGAAAGTGCTGAAAAATTAATGATTCTTGAAGATATAGAGTATCTTGATACAAAATCATTCGGGAGTTCTATCGTAAAAACGACACTGCATGTTTGATCTTAAGTATAATTTTGCACGAAAGATTGGGAAATCATCAGTGTGCGACACAAAATCTTGACACTAAATGCATGCTAGTGACGGGTGCCTAAAGCCCAGTTTAAGGCCAGTATCACTGCGAAGAAGCTGTCGAGTCAAAATTTCACCACTTCTGTGTGTTCAAATATTCATAATGCATTCATTTCTCGATCGTTCAAACTCGTTAATTCAACTATTCTGCTATCCCAAGGAATAACAAAAGACAAATTTCCAACTTAGCTCTCGATAAGATAATTGAAAGGCAAGAAAAAGTTCTTTTTAGAGTTTCGACATCATCCGACGAGTTTATACTTAGGACTGTTCACTTGCGCTGAAATGATAGATGTTCCGATTTTAGAATTCTTTACTTACTCCATAGGAACATGGAACTGGACTGTATTTTCAGGGAGCTCCCTTCCCGGTCTAACCAACTTCATGTACCAATTACAAAGAAAAATTCGAGCTTGCAACCTTGGATGTCTCACCACATGTCGGTACGCCATCTTAGATACACAATGAGAGAGGAACTGGGGCGTATGAGAAAGTTTTATGGGAGGGGAGGGTGAGTCCAGATAGGCGGTCAGGTTTCTTTCCACGTCTAAGACATGGAGATAGTCAGCCGTTTTCCGAGATGCCGAAAGGCTTTGTTTTAAAACAAGGCTTAGTGCGAGATTTTGATAAGCAAACGATTAGTCATTCGCCTCCAGATGGAACTTAAGACATTTTTTGCACTTGACTACATTTTAAGGGGAAGGACTCAGTTCTGGAACTCGAATATATTCAAAACTGACGTTGAATTTTACAGTAGACAAAGTCTAAAGAAGAGAAAAGAGGAAAAAAAACGCATAGTACACCAGGATTAAGTACTTCTCGAAAGACTTGTTTCTTGTCATGTTTGCCGGTCTTCTTAATGGTTTGAGGAAACCATGTCACGGTTCGTGCCGGGAACTGGAAAATTCAAACTTTCAAATAATCCCAAAATTGGTAATTTGGAGTCCACCCTAATTTTCTCCATCATTTGTCATCCTTTTGTTTTGGGGTTATCATCTCCCATTTGACTATTTTCTACATTCTTAGTATCATTTTCAAGTTTCATTCTGATTTACGACGATTTTGAATGCGGAAACAGCTGAAATAATCTGAACACCGGAACAAAGAAAGAGCAGTATCTTGCCCGGGGCTCACATGTTTTCTCTTTGTCTCTTTTATTTTTCATGAATAGCTGGAACAAATATGAAACTTATTCCACTCGCCGAAAAAAAAAATCCTCTCATAAATTATTGAGAGTGCCCGACCGTAGGTGTTCGTGAAGGGGGCGGAATTTACAGCTCTCAAAGGGGGCTGCTGATTTTTCAAATTTGTCATTTTGAAAAGAACACAGTGCTATGAAGTAATTTATGTGTTTCTTTATTTCGTAAATAAAAAAAATTAAAGGAAAAGGGAACCATAACAATAGCATAAAACGATGGAACGATGCAACAATTTCGACATTCCAGGTTTCAGTAACAATATAAATCACTTATGAAGTATGAAACAGATGGTTATTAATCGTTGTGAAAGTAAGTGATTCTAAGTGCAGCCCTCATTCGGGGGCGGTGTACTTTCAGTTCATCCTGTGCGCGTGCGCTATCGTGAAACCATTGAACAACCTTCCGACACTTAAACAATTTACGCCATTTCAGCTGTCAGAGCATAATTAGGACTTAAGGAAGAAAAGCCACAGATGAAACATTATTATCCACGTGCACTCAAACTAGAGAGTTAAGGTCAAGCTTTCGTGACAAAGAGACGAGATAAAGAGGATATCAATTCTCAACCAGTGTAAGTAGACTTAGATTAACAATTTTAACCTGTTGCAGTAAATTTTTTCTTGAGCAACTCTGCTATAGTTTGCCATAAAACGTCAAACTCCATCCAAATATAATGTGTACCTCGTGAAATCGTTCCACTCAGACACCCAATTATTTCTCTTGAGCTTAAGAGAAATCTATTTCTCACATAGCTCTTGTAAGCCAACTCACAGGGTTACTATTGCTGATGTAAAGAGACGTATGCGGTTTTTTACACTTCTTCTGAGTCGGCTCCTCTGAAAATTGTAAAAATCTCATCTTTGCAATAGTATTTCATTTATTCTGCTACACAGTTGTTCACTTTGCTATAGAATTATTGTAAATTTCTCTTATGCATTTCTATCTTCGTTCATAAATTGATTTCATTTATTGATTTGGGGGCAATTTCAAGCAACCCGATCCTTCTCTAATGAGGAAATTTGATTTCCTTGTTTGTGAAGAAAAGAAAACTTTTCAGACTGTGAATCCAATTTTCCTGGCTTATCAATAAATCAGTAAAGACGTTTCCAGAAAAAGCCAACAAATTAATGTTATGACAGGGAATCGTAGGAGTCAATTTCGTAACATAGAATTTCACTTTATTGGACGAGGCAAATAGTTAATTTCGCTTGCAAAATAAGATAAATATTGAAATCTACCTCTAGTCACAAATTTTGGTCTCAAAAGTAATTTCGTGGTTTTCGTCAACCTTTGACCATGGTTTCCCTGTTTTGCATACATCGCACTTTTAATATGGGAACACAAGTTTAAACGGTACGCTTGTGGTGACGCACTTGTCTTAAGTGTACATGTGGCCTAAGCTCACTCGAAAAACAAAAGAGCCGGACTTCGTTTGCATTTCGACGATCTTGTGAAGCTGCATTTAAAATCTGAACGTGGAAAAGCATATTACCCTTCCCTGCTCTGTTCTTTCGCGGATTTGCTGATGTTAGTAATCCATATGTACATGAGTCATTTAGCCTGAGATCTTTCTAAGGCTTGGGGGAGTGTCTGTTGATCACTCCATTATTTCACTCCATATATATCAGCCTGTCAAATATTCTCCCACAAAGTAATTTGCAAAGCCAGGGGTAATTTATTGAGAAGGTATGTCAAATCCCGTTCGCATACTCTTGCTAATCTAGTGTTCCTGGTGGGTTTTTGAGTTTAGCAACTTCATAACCCTGTGGAGACTCAGCAAGCTTGTGGTTCACTCACGACAGGGATTGATGAGTTCTTGTTGACTTCAAACACAGCTGCTTTGAGTCAAACTGATACCGTAAAAATTGAAAATCCTTTAAAAGTCTTAGACATTCAGAGTGGCCTGTTATAGTTTAAAAAATTATCAAAAACTCTAACAGTTCACTATTTACGATCATTGTAAGTTTAAGTGAGCTTGTACACTGGCCAAAAAATATTAAAATTAAACTAGTTCTCGTGATAAGTGGCAGAGCTTGTAAAGCAGTCCATAATCATAATTGTTGGACCGAGTTTTATTCAATTTACAGAGTGAGCTTGAATTGAGTTGTTTGCCTCAGAAATAACCAAACATACTTTCAAAAAGAGGAAAATAATTTAATGTTCATCGAAGCACCATCCAATTTGAAAAAAACCCTTGTAATCAGCTACTTGTGTGCTGGTGCCCAACGTAGTTAAATAAACATCACATAAATATGAAATGTTTTGGCATTCTTCTGATTCTATAGACTGAAAGACGACCCGTGGCCTCGATAAGTACAGAACAACCGATGAAAATGCAAAACGCCTAAGTCTTCGACAGGTGCCACACTTTTAGGAAAAGTTCGTTTTAGTTAGTTTGCGGTTTAGCAGCATTCGTTGACCGATGTTTGTTCAGTGTTATTATGATTAAAAATCGTGTGCAAGCTGATTTCAACTTTCTGGATTAGCAAGAGAGGGCCGTCAGTAAGAATTTAACGAGGATCTTCTTGTGCTGACGCATTCTACAAAAGGTGATTTAACAACGGAAACTGTATTTAACATGAGAAGTGTAACTGTCGACGAAGAACGAATGTTTAGATCACTAAAACGGTGGTCATCATTCTGTAATTTATATAGATGTCATATGAAAGTGATAAGCCCCTCGATCACGCACCTGTATTACTTTTTATGCTCTCCGAGTCTTTTTGGCCATAATTTTCCCAGTTTCATTAAAATAATAATCGTTCTTTGCATTTATTAGTAGTGACTTTAAAGGAACTACATGAACAATAAACAACGAATTTCCTCCGGGAAATATACCTGGAAAAGGCGAGCACAACTTGATCGATCGCAAGCGTCTTCTTTTACAACTACGCGCCTCGCTTCTTGTTAATTAGAGACAACAATACAAATCTGACACAAAGTTCACAAATTGATAGGACCCGTAGGTGCGCAAACCCGCACCTCAAGGGACACTCAGCGTCAAATTGATTGACAGCTTCCATGACTCTTCAAATTACTTCCGTTTAGGGCAATTTTACATTACTGCTCCTTTTATCAAGAGTGTCCTCTGACAGGCTCACTACAGTCACCACAAGAGCGCTTACTACTATACTTCAGGTTGGGAATAGAGAAGAAGGTATCGTAAACCTTTGTCATGCATGATTTATTTTCATAACACTAAAAAGGAAATTGGAAGAATGTGTTTGGGGTCAGTTTGCGCGGGGAGTTCATTAATTAGCTTTAGATTTACGTTCTCACAGTGGTAAGGCATAAGGATATTTTTTTAACTGTTCGGCGCCAGGAAAGCCAGAGTAGAACTCGTTATCCATTACGATGCGAGTGAAAATGGTTGATCTGATTAAATATTGCAATTCTTAAAGAATAAAAACAAATCCAACCAGCTATTTCGAGATCAAACTCGTGAAGCGTAGAAACTTGACATGATCTTGAAAAAACCAAAGGTATTTCTAATAACCCTCTTGAGTTTTTGCTGGTAAATATTCCCGATACAACCTAACATCTTCTCTAAAAGCTATTACTCTGGACCTCAAAAAGCCACTAAATATCTTGAGTATATAATAAATGAATTTGAATATAAGTCCATCTATTTAGTAGAGTACAAATGAATAGCAGCAATTAACAACACATGTGTGTCAACAAAACAGATAGTACTTAATGAACAAAATCATGCGTATTCAAGGAGAAGGTGGTAGAACGGGCTAATTCTTTTGAATCAAACCTGACATTGAAAAGCGCTTTTAGTCAGATTATCTGGGATACAGATTTGATATTGAATTACCTATATTGCACTATACTCAATAGTGGATCACGAGATATTAACCCCGAGGGGGTTTATGGGACAAACCGAATTAGCTGGCGCCTAATTTGTGTGATGATAGCTAAATAGCAACTACGAAAAAGAAAAAATTATGGGATTATCGCAACGAATCCATTTTCCTGTTCACGGAAGACACGAATCAAACGTATTGAAGGACTGCAACTCCAGATATTGGTGACTCGCATCTTCACTTAAGCCGATTCTTTTCAATTTCTATATCAATTGCTTTATATTAGCATTCAAGGATATTCTCTGGGGATAATCCATATTCGTGAAAGAAAATGTAAGTGCCAGTTTTGTCGCACACAAAAATAGGATCGGAAGCAAAGGAGGCGTGCTGCCGGCATGCTTCCGTAGTGCCACGATCCGGGAGATTTGGGAAAGAGCCAACAAGGCAGTTGAG